GAAAACTGATTGCCTATTATAAATGGGCATACTACTTTGTAAAAGGGATGCGGTGGTTTAGTGGCTAAGGTGCTGAGCTTGTCAATCAGAAAGGTCGGCAGTTCGGCAGTTTGAATCCCTAGCGCTGTGTAACAGAGTGAGCTCCCGTTACTTGTCCCAGCTTCTGCCAACCAAGCAGTTCGAAAGCATGTGAAAAATGCAAGTAGACCACCTTTGGTGGGAAGATAACAGCGTTCTGTGGGCCTTCAGTGTTTAGTCATGTCGGCCACAAGACCACAGAGACGTCTTCGGACAGCGCTGGCTCATGGGCTTTGAAACGGAGATGAGCACTGCCGCTTAGAGTCGGGAACAACTAGCACGTATGTGCAAGGGGAACCTTTACCTTTTACTGTGTAACACTCATGAAAATATTGCATGACTTCCGTGCCTTGTTGGGTCAAGGAAGGAGAACGGCGATTGCCATTTTTAGCAACAGGAAGTCCATTCGTAAAGATGGGTAAGTCGGACAGTCTTAAACTGGGAACTACCTGTATATAAGAGTGACCAAAGTGGTTTGGAGAGAGCAAACTCTTTCAACTGTAAAACATTCTTTTCCTGTAATAGCACCATATATGGCAACCTATAGCCAACCAGCTCTAGAGCATCTCTTGTTTTTCATTCAGAGACTTTGATCTAGCAGTAAAGGTATAAAGGAAATTAAATGCTTTCTTTATGTCTAAGTATATTTACCCATGTGTTATGGCTTTATTATTATTAACCTTTTCATCTTTACTACTACCTTCTCTTATTGGTATCATTATTATGATTCTTAATTCGCTGTTGTTTTGTGTGAACACTGAGAGCTCCTGCACTAGAGACGAATTCCTTGTGTGTCTAATCACCCTTGGTCAAATAAAGTATTCTCTATATCTTTAGCTTCTCTCTCTCCCTGGATAGTGTATTGTACTCTTTCAAAATTGCTTCAATTTTGCAGGAGGGGAAGTCTTTAGTAGTAGTGACTACACGAAAGATAAACCAAGTATGAGAACTCCATAGGGAGCTGTTCTGACCCCCTCCTCCATCCAGTAACGAATGCCGAGACAAGCTTAGCTGGAATGCCACAACACTTTATTAGCAGGAAACATAAATCTTGGTGACTGAAAGCCCAAGCACGACAAACAGATAAAGAACCTTGGCAGCAACCTAGACTCCAACAGATACAGATAACAGCTTCTCCAGCGTTGAGAATTAAGTTGAATCCTGCAACCAGACTCCTCCCAGAGTATCTCCTTAAATACTATCTTGAGAGGAGGCTAATTACAACCACCTGGGTCCAATTATCTTCTGTACCTGTGTAGCTGTTCTCTACGTCGATCTGCCCGCTGTTGCCAGGCGTCCAGGACCAACTCCCTTGTCTCCTCTGAACTGCTCCAAGGCCTGACATCAGGAGCACACTCCCTTTGGCTTTCACCGCTGCTCCATGCCTCAGGCGCCTCCTGGTGGCCAACCAGCCTCTTTGATCCCTGCTTGGAGTCGGAACCCTGTCCAGGGTCCTCCACATATTCCAGAGCTGACTCATAGGGCCCCTCACTGTCGGAGTCTGTTTGCAGCTCCAACGGCTCCTGCTGGGCCACAACAGGGAGCATAGAAGATAGGTGTTCTTAAATGTCTTATTGAAAATATGAAAAGAGAATGAAATTTAAGGATCTGAAAAAAATGGGCTGACATGACCAGAAAAAAGAAACCGAAGTTCACTATTTAGAAACATAGAAAATTGACATAGAAAAAGATTTAGTTGGTTCATTGAGTCTGCCCTTCGAGTTTGTTGGGTTTTTTCCCTTTTTAATTTATTAATTAATGTTTAATTTTATTTTTTTGTCAGATGATGGGCATGTGCTTATCCCAAGCATGTTTAAACTCAGTTACTGACGATTGGCGCACTACCTCCACTGGGAGTTAGTTCTAAGCTTCCGCTACTCTTTCTGTGAAGTAATTCTTTCTAACATTACTTCTGAACTTCCATCCTGTCAGTTTGAGGTTACGTCCTCGTGTTCTTGATTTTTGCTAATTATTGAAATACTGCCTTCTGGAACCTTACCTCAGACCCTTAATATATTTAAATGTTTCAATCATGTCCCTCCTTCCCCTTCTGTCCTCCAGGCTGTACATTTAAAGTTATTTCCCCAGAAGTATTTCTAGCTAAAGATAAAGGTAAAGGTTCCCCTTGCACATATGTGCTAGTTGTTCTCAGGTCCATTTCAAAGCCGAAGAGCTAGTGCTATCTGAAGACGTCTCCATGGTCATGTGGCCAGCATGACTAAATGCTGAAGGAACATGAACACTGTTACATTTCCACCAAGGTGGTTCCTATTTTTCTTCTTGCATTTTTATGTGCTGTCGAACTGCTAGGTTGGCAGAAGCAGGATCAAGTAACGGGAGCTCACTCCATTACGCAGCAGTAGGGATTCGAACCGCTGAACTGCCATCCTTTCTCATCGACAAGCTCAGCATCTTAGCCACTCAGCCACCGTTTCCCTCTATTTCTAGCTACAATTCTCCTCTTTTTCTTTGTATGAGATCAGATTCATACCACAATTGGGTGCTGATGCTTCTCCATTGAAGTTATTAGTTATGAATCTTCACAGGTAATAGGAGGCAGTAAGTTCCTGTCCCTATTATATATTTCAAAGATTTTATGACCAATTTAATTTTAAGGTATTAAAAATATGTCAGAATAAGGTTGTATAGTGGCTTCACTATATCAGCAGTAGCCTGCAAAATAGACTTGAAAATGCCTGAAACTTAGTGTTCTGAAAACTGATAAAGTAGATTAGGCCTTGAGGTTAAGGAAGGAAGTAATACCTCCAAAAGCTTAAGATGAAAAACCAGTATAATAGGGAGAAGATTAAGGTAGAAACTCTGCACTTAAACTTTAATTATCATTGAAAGACTTTAGAGCCTCACTAATTTTCAAATGAATTTGAAGCTTATTTCTATCTGGAGTATTGGGTTTTATTTTCCTGTGTCATATGATTCTGCTATATAAATATGTCGTGTATATAACTTCATGAATAAATTGTATGGGGAATCTTATTTTATGTGCGGTCCTTGTTGCTCTCTGAGTTTGGTTGTTTTCTTGCAGATGTTTCATTACCAAAGTAAGCAATATCATCATTGCTAACCCTAACCCAGCACTGATACTGTTGCCTAGTTTGGTAATGAAATATTTGGAAAGATACAACCAAGCTCAGAGAGCACCACCGACTGCACAATTCATCCCTGAGTTACAAACACAGATAGTCCTCTATTTACAACCATTCCTTTAGTGACCTTTCAAAATCACAATGCAGTGGAAGAAGTGCGTTATGATCGTTTTTCACACTTACATCCGTGGCAGCATCCCCATAGTCATAAAGATCAAAATTCAGAGGCTTGGCAACTGTCTCATATTTATGATGGTTGCAGTGTCCCAGGTTCATGTGATCAGAAATTTTGGGCTCAATTGCAGTTGTAAATTGAGGACGACCTGTTCACAGTTCAACATGGGCTACTTTCTTCCACTGCTTCCAAATCGGAATCTTACTTTCCATTTCATGAAAAAAAAAAACCCAGATGAAGTTAGCAAGAGCTATTGCAATGCATTTCAGTATATTTGGATGTACTAACCCTGTGATGGCGAACCTATGGCACATAGCAATAGCAATAGCAATAGCAGTTAGACTTATATACCGCTTCATAGGGCTTTCAGCCCTCTCTAAGCGGTTTACAGAGTCAGCATATTG